AAAATGAGATTTCGCAGGCCTCCCTTACCTTCCTCTGTTTCGCTGGGTCTGAATTTCCATGAAGATGATTTGAATGGGATTTTATTGGACAGTTAGGGAACAGAGTAAACTCTAAAATACCCCTGTGACACAGTGAGATTCACAGAGTTTCAAAGACTGAAGTGGACTGATTGCCTAAGTTGTAAGAGAAGATGGCAGAAAGACTGAGAGGATCTTAGTCACAAAATGTGTGACTGTGTCAAGGCTCTGTTTCTGACTGTCTCTCACTCAGACAGAGGAGAGGAAACTTTCCATCTCTCATTTTCAATCTCTGAGGCTGGAGATGGTATCCGCTGGCGAGCATGTGGACTGCCGTTCATGGGAGACGTCTTTGCTCTCCCTTGAGCAGCCCCTTAGGCTGAGTTGAAGTGAGCACGTGCTGCCCGTTCAGCCCACGCTCCCCTGGGAAAGGGGGAGGCTTGACGAACGTCCAGGGAGGCCTTCTAGGAGCCAGGCTCTGTGCTGGGTGTGTCACTCTTCTCACCGTAGAGCTCTTACTACTCAGCTTTAACAAACGAGGAAAGATGAGCAAGATTAATAGTTTTATAGCAAGTAGTTAGTGGTAGAGGCGGGATTCTAACGGAGACCTGTCAGGCTCTAGTGTCCATTTTTTTTCTTTTGTTAAATGTGGTATTTTCTTTGTACTGTTTCTTCTATGGTATTTCTTCTTTAAATTTTTCATGAAGTTTGACCTCAGTAGTGGTCTTCATGAGTGGGCTTGCTGCATTTGAAGAATACAACTTAATGAAGTTTTTCCTAATTTATCACCAAGTTGGCTTATGTTTAGTTCAGTAGCAATGAGTATCTAATTATCCCTCATCCTGGCATAGAAAAGGGCATGCCTGGATTGGTTTGTTTTTACGAGATAAATGAATATTCAGCATTTTGGACAGGGACCTTCAGCTTCCATCATTTGACAATCTCAGCTGCATAATTTTGATGATATGGAGTCTTTCAAGGAGAGTCCACTGATGGTTAAATAACCTGATTTCAGTTCTGTAACGCAGGAGGAAGATTGACCCCTTTTGAATAAAGTCCACCAATTGCTTCATTTATTGCATATAGATTTTTCACTTAATTTGCTCTTGTTCAAGAACAAGAAGCCAAACTTTATAACGTGTGGGGTTTTTAGTGGCAAAATAATTACAAGGGTAGGCCTCTGTTACACTCAAAAATTAACAATTTTTCCTCCTCCTCATTGTTGAAACAAGATGAGTGATAAGGTTAAGTTTCAAAATTCTGCCTGCTTTGTCTTGTCCTTCCCACCTTTTCATCATCTTTTCTTTCGTTCTTCTCTCTGGGTTTCTCATTCCCTTTTTTTTTTTTTTGAGGAAGATTAGCCCTGAGCTAACTACTGCCAGTCCTCCTCTTTTTTGCTGAAGAAGCCTGGCCTTGAGCTAACATTCATGCCCATCTTCCTCTACTTTATACATGGGACGCCTACCACAGCGTGGGTTTTGCCAAGCAGTGCCGTGTCCGCACCTGGGATCTGAACTAGCGAACCCTGGGCCGCCGAGACGTGGAACGTGCGAACTTAACCACTGCGCCACTGGGCCAGCCCCTCTCATTCCTTCTGAATGATAATCAGCAGCGTCATTTCCCCTGCTCTTGCCTTCTTTCAACAGTTCAAACATAGATCCATAGGGAATGAAAAAGTAGTTAGATTACCATAAATTATTAAAGCATCCGGTGTATAGTTTGAGGTATTTCATAGTCATTAGAGCAGTTGCACTTTTCTTGACTCTTTTGTCCACAGTAGACTACCTCCAATTCACTTAGCATTTGTTCATCTTTTGCTCATGCTGAAAGTACTTATTTTGCTCCTGTGTTGTGCCAGGGGTGATCAGCCTTACTTCTCCCATGGCCCAGGTGGCTGGTAGGTTCTCACACACCACACTCCTCATGTCAGAGTTGTACATAGTTTTCAACCCCTTTTGTTTCCCACGTGGGAAAAAAATATCTGAATTCAGGGGAATATGAGGATGGGAGTTAATTGTAAAGCCATTCTAGTAAATAAAAATAGTGAATTATCACCATAATTTAGCACGGGGGTGTTCATATGATTGCTTACGACAACTCCCACAGCTGACTGACCTTGATGTTCTGGTGAGCCCAGATGCTTCTGAGCACCTAAAGATAAAGTCTCAAATTATCAAGAAAAAGACCGAGTGCTGGAGGGAGGATGTACCCAAATGTAATTGAAGGGAAGATGTGGTGAGCGTCATTAGCAATACAGAGACTTTCTAGTGTATTTCTGGGGGAGGAGAGACTAATTTTAGGAGTATCAGAAAAGACGTATATAGTGTCTTAAGTGGCATGTCAGCTCCATGGAAAGAATTGGAACAGTTGTCGGGGTGGCGGATGAAGGTGATTATTTTGAACCCAAAAGCCACATTTACCATCTATTGATTTGATTCTTGATATTCTGTGTTTCAATATTGAAATTATACATACATACGCAAAGACATATACTTAAACACATTCACACATGATTAAGGAGCATAATCAAAGTCCTTGAGCCTAAATGATACATTTTTGTCTAGGCACTGGCCATCACTTTGACCTCTCCAGTTGATAACAGCTGCCTGACTTATAGTTTCTCATTGATTTCTTTTGCTATTTAAAAAATGTGTTAGAAAACATTGGGCCCCAGTATGAGTTTAGTTACCACTCAGGCAGCTCCTCCTGAAGTGATTAATAAGCCACAAATATAACCATTTCCTCTTTTCTCCATTTAGCATTGGTATTTTTGGAAATTGGGTTGCCTGTGCCAAGTTTTATTTGTAGATAGAATGGGAATTGTTAAATGGCCTATCAGTTCACAAGAAATCTTTGTTCCTTTATTAAGAGCACACCAGGTAACTAATTCCATTTAGAGTTTTCAATAACAACTTCCACTCTTGAGGCAGCCACGTGAACCATGTAATTGCTTCAGATATTCAGCAGAAGTTTCTTGCTAAGAAAACCACAGGAATGTTTTTTTCTCCCCCGTTCCGTTTTTTGATTAGACAAGGCTTTTAATAAATTAATGATGATTTTAATCAAAATGAAGATATAAAAATAATCTTTATTAAAATTAAGATTTTATTGCAGCACAAGAAATCTGAATGTCCATCAATAGTGAAATGATTGAATAAATTGTGATATATTATTTTGAAATATTACATATTTATTACAAAATGAGAACTATTAAGATGTATTGACTTAGAAGAGCATGATATATGCAACTTAAATTTTTTAAATGGCTATTTGTATTGATATATTTGGATTTTAAAAAAGGTTTAGAATGATATAGTCCCTAAGGATACTAAAATTGGTCAGAGGCTAGGTAAACAGTTAGAGGAGAGAATCCAGAAATAGATTTATACAAATGTGGACTTTAGGATATAGGATAAAAGTGACATTTCAAGGGAATGGAGAAAAGCTAGATTATTTAATAAATGATGTTGGGACAATTGGCTAGGTATTTGGAAAAAAAGAATAAGCTAGATCCCTACCTCACTCCTTTTATCAGATGAATTCCAGATGGATCAAATATTTAAATTTTTATAATAGTCATGCAAGTTCTAGAAGAAAACATTAGTGACTCTTCCTTTTTGGTTTTGAAGTGAGGAAGGCGTGACACAAAATCCAGAAGGAATTAAGGAAGAAGGATCTATTGGCCTATCCATATTGTCTTGCAGGCTTGAGAACTGGATGAACCTTGAAACTATATGTACATGGACCCTAGGTTCAGCAACATGGCATTATGAGTTTATTGGTATCACTTTGCAAGCACTTGAACCAATGCCAACTTACACTGACCAAAAAGGCCACTACTGTGTGATTGTAGCCGCATTTGTGTTTCTAATTGTCAGCATAAACCATTTAAATTGATGGCATGTAACTGTATTATTTGAATTTTTGCACAAGTATGTATAAACAATAATTTGTATATTAATGTTACTTCAGATGAACGAATGAGAAATACCAAATCAGAAAATACTGAGAGAAAGCTAAGACACTGACCTGTATAGTTTACCTCTGGGCTGGGGGGGCTGGGCGTGATGGAGAAGGAAAACCTCAATTTATGCTACTTTCACCTTTAAAATATGATGAATATGTGTTGTTTTATCATTGAGAAAAACTTTTTTTTAAAGTCATGGAAAAGTAATTTAGAATTTTAGCCTTCTGTAAAAGATTTTGTCACATTCGTAGCCTGGCTGTCACTTAGCTCTTACCCGTTAGGGACAAAAAAGCCTGAGGAGCAAAGCTTTGTTCCCACATAGTGATGCGTGTGACGCGGAGAGCCAGGAAGGTGTGTGATTTGTGTGTCACAGGCGGACGCAGGGTGCCCATCCCACTCAGTGACACACAGGGTTCACGTGCTGGCTCCTTGGAGGCTGCACCCAGCTAGTTTTTGAAAAATGTGTGTCATCTTTTGAAATAGTTTTATTTTAAATCCAGAACATTTGGTTCTTACAAAATATTTATTTTCCTTAATAATATTCCAGGCTCAGATGTATCATATTGTAGAATGCAAAATTCATATAAATTATTATACTAAACTAGGAGCCATTGGTTAGAATGTATGGAGGGCCACCTCTATGAACACCTCTGCTCCCCTGGGAGGCATCTTTCACATTCTTCAGATGGAAAACACTACCCTGGGTAAATATGAACAGATGATAGTAACTCATAGTCATCCTAACACTTATATTTGGATTTCGAGTTCTAAAGTTATGGAGTGAAAGGAAGTAGATTTCATAAAAGGCAAATTTTATTAGCTCAATTTCATTCACTAAAATGACTGTTTGATTATGTACTTAGAATTCTTACTGAATCCGGTAAATGCCTGAGCTGGTAGATACTTTAGTCATTAAGACTATAATCCAATTAAAGCCAAGGAAGCTAAATAAACTAATTTTAATCAAATATGCTTTGATTTCTCTCTGTTTCTCTCCTTTCTTTCCTTACCACAGGTCACAGTAATGAAAGGCAGTAATAGAAATAAAGATCATTCAGCAGAAGGCGAAGGGGCTGGAAAACGACCCAAACGAAAGTGTCTTCAGTGGCATCCATTGCTGGCAAAGAAACTTCTAGACTTTTCAGAAGAGGAGGAAGAGGAAGACGAAGAGGAGGATATTGATAAGGTAATTCCTCCATTTATTGTAGAAGTTTTAAGTTTATTTGAACATTCATTCTAGAAACTGCAGTGAACATATATGCTGTGAAAGAGGCGTTCCTAAAAGTCTGTATAACTTGAATCCTGTTTAACTGCGTGACTACTTAATCTACATTGTTCTTCCAAATACTGATGACTCTTATTAAAGTATCTGTACTTCCTAATAGTTTAGACTGAAACAGATCCTTCTTAAATAGTTTCTGTCAATTAACTAATGATTTGCAGGTAATGTTCAAATGCAGCGGAGATGGGGGTATTCACCTGGCACCCACCCCGTTGTTCCTGGCCTCTTCTTGCTTTGCTTCCGGCCTAGCCCTGCCAGTGTAGGGCAGTCTCAGCTGCTCAGGTCATCCTCTGTGGCCTTCGCAGCGTCTGGCTGCCTCACCCCACCACGCCTCTGAGGTCAGTCAGTCCTCCAAGCCCCCTTCTCTCATCTTATGCTTGAGTGGTGGGCTCTTGTTTAGAAAGTCACATAGCCATGCAGGTGACTTAAGAAAGCCACCCATTCCTCCAGGTCTTGGTATGACTGGTTCTTCCTCTGCATTGTTCAGATCTCAGCACAAGGACTACCCCCCTGAGGGATGAGACCTCATCATCTTAGTGTCCCTCCCACCCGACTCCTTCCATGTCAGAGGATTTCCTTCAGGACACGTCTTACTAGTTCCTTGTGTTAGCTGTACCCTTCTTTATGTCTGTCTTTCCAGACTAGAACGTAAGCTATCAGAGCTGGGGTCTTGCCCCTCTTGTCCTCTTCTTCCTGAGAACCTAGAATGATATTAAATAGATAGATGCTCAGTGGAAGAATAGATGAGTGTATGTTTGTGTCATCACACATTTTAGAAACGTGTTTTATTTTCTCCAGGCCTTTGACATCCATCCATTGGCTTGGGTCAGCTCCCTCTTCCACTCATCTTGGCAGGAATTATAAACCTTTTTTCTCTTTCTCAGACATCTTCTCTGGATACCCTTTATGATCTCTCTCACTGTTGACCTGATGTCCTGTTTCACAGAGAAAATTGAGGCCACCATAGCTGACTCCTTCAGCTTCCTCTCCTCACCTGGGCACTGGTCTCACTTCTTACTCATCTTTTCTTCCTCCTTTCCTATTTTAGAGAAATAGGTGTTACTCCTCCAGATTGAGGAAATTTCTAAGTTGATACTTACTTGGATCTTTCTGGCACACTTGCACCTGTTGACCACTTGCCCCTTGAGGCTGCCTCCTTTTTCTGTGATAGCTCTCACTCCTTTTTCTCTGCCTACCTTCCCTACTGTACCTTCCTAGTTTCTTTCGGTTGATGCCCCTCCATCATTCTTCCTCAAATGGCGATGTTCTCTAAACCTCTTAATTTCTATTGCCCTCCTGGACTTTTTTTCCTAAACTCTGGACTTGTATTTCTGCCTATTTACTTGACATATCCACTCAGGTATCAAATCAGAATCTCAGTTCAAAATGAAGCTTTCACTTTTCTCCACCAAACCCCGTCCTCTTGCATCTTCCTTTTTCCAGTAAATGGCAAATCCAGCTTTCAGGTTGGTCAGACCCGAAACCTTGTCTATTTTCTTTTGCTCAAGTCTCACTTCCATCCATTTATCAGCAAATTTTCAGCTCTACCTTTAAAATGTGTTCTCGATTTGACCCTTTCTTAGCAACTTCATTACCACCCCGTTGATCCAAGCCACCACCATTTCTAGTGCCCATGATTGTGTTCGACCTCTCCCTACATCTGCTCTTGCCCTTCTACAATCTTCTCAACAAAGCAGCCAGAGGGATCCTTTCAAAATGGAGGCCTGGTTGTGCCACTCTTCTGCTTCTCCAGGGCAGGGAATTTGCATGCTCACTGCTCTGTCTGCCTCACCTAGAACAGTGCCTGGTCCATATCAGGTGCCCGGTGAATAGTAATTGAGTGAAAGAATGAAGTCGTTGAATGCTCTTCTCTTTTCAGTCCACATTTGGTGATCTCATCCACATCCTTGGTCCTACACCCTCTTTATATTGGTCCTTCGGTTCATTATCCCAGCTGAGACTTCTCTTCTGAGAGCTGCTTCCACTCCAGCCTTCTCAATACTGATCTTCCTGTTCCCCACCAGGTCTAATTTCTCTTATTTGAGAAAAAGTATTCTCTGTTGCATATGAAGGAATCTTGCCACCAAAGCCAGAAACACTCTTCCTTTTCAACCTGTAAATCCAATCAGATACCAGTCACTCTTGGTTCTACCTCATAAATAAATATTGTCTCTGTTCTGTCTTCCTCATTCTCATTATTACTGCCTTGATTCAGCCCTGTCCCCTTTCCTGCCTGGACAACTGGAGGAAACTTGTAACTGGCTTCTCTGGTTTTTGGTTGCTGCCAGGTTTGCTGTTACACTTTCATGCTCTACACTGGTGACAGGAGTTATCTTAAAATGCAAATCTAGCAATGTCCATCCCCCTTGTCCCCGTCCCCCCCACCCCCGCCTGCTTAAAACCACTCATGACTCTCCATTGCATCCACCTGTGCTTTCCATAGCCTGGTCTGGTATTCGTGTTGATTTGTTACAGAGTATTACTTCCCCCAGGGGTGAAAGAAAAATAAGTCCAGATAGAGAGTTTTTCATTTTTATTTAATTTAATTTATTTGTTCATTTGCTTTTGGTTAGTTAATTTAATGAGATAATTATAATAGTAGATAGCAGTTAAAAACATTTTGTTTTTAATGTTCGTACTTGGCAAAATAAAAAGTTGAAGGGCCAGCTCCATGGTGTAGTGGTTGAGTTTGGTGGCGCGCTCCACTTCGATGGCCCAGGTTCATGGGTTCAGATCCTGGGCGTGGATCAACACCACTCATCAGCCACACTTTGGTGGCAAACTGCATATAAAGTAGAGGAAGACTGGCACAGATGTTCGCTCAGGGCTAATCTTCCTCAGCCGGAAAAAAAAAAAGAAAAAAGTAATCTGTGTCCGTCCACCAAGGTTTTTTTTATTGGTCCATACAGTCTGAAACCACTCATTTATAGGATTAAATGTACTTTTTTTACATGGCAGAGCACATTCTTCATGAAGTGGCCCATACCTCCTTCTACGACCTCATGCCCCAGATCCTTATTCTAATCTTTTATATGTTAGTGCTATTGAACTACATGTGGATGTTTGAATAAACCATTGAGCCTTAATCCCTGTTAGTTCCCCATGTCTCCCCATTGACTACCTGACACATTTGGATTCATCTTTCGAAGAGTAGCTCAGACAACGCCTTTTCTAGGGAGACTCTTTGTGCTTCCACCCATCCATCAGTGCTTCATTATCGTGCGGGCTCCCTGTTGCAGTCATCATACTGGTTTTTAATTTATTTGCTTATATATCTTTCTCCCCTCCCAAAACGGCGAGCTCTGTCGGCCAGGATCTTCTCTTATTTATCTTTTTCCAGCTCTTGGCTTGAGTTTTATAATTTAGTAACGGAAGCAAAAGTTATTCTTTCTAGAGGGAAAATATAATTACTTCCTCAACCTACATAATACATTTTTATGCCTGATTTTTCTGTAGCTTCTTAATCAGTTTCAGAATGCAAAAATAAATGCTCCTTGAAAATGCAAATCTTGTTAATGATTGTATACGTAATGAGGAAGAGAAATCTGTAGCCTTCACCCCCAATAATAATCCCTAAAGTATTTCTAAATCAGATAGCTGTGACTTCAAGATTGTTCTGTACTATTTGCGTTTGAAGATAATTGATGGTTAATTAAATGTATTTGCAATACTTAGTTTAAACTTAAAAGGCTTTTAAAAAGTGCCAAATTGGATTAAGCTAGTGATTTGTCCTAGAGTATCTGTCTGTAACATTTGCCCAATAAACATGATATAAAAGAACATGATTGCCTTATAGCAGAGGTTCTCAGAGTGTGATCCTCACCCCAGCAGCATCAGCATCACCTGCGCACTTGTTGGAAATACAGATTCTCAAGGCCTGCTCCAGACCTACAGAATCAGAAACTGGGAATGGGACCCAACACTCCATGTTTTAACAAGACTTCCAGGGCCTGCAGTGCCCACGCAAGTTTAAGTCCCGCCCCACTGTATAACGCAGACTAACAACTACCGCCATCCTTCTTGATTTTAACTATGAAACAAGAAATGAAAGAAATGGTTTTAGTAAGCATTCTGGACTTCTGTTCATGGTTGCACTGTTTCTGAGAAATATCATAGAATTGTATTTTAGCTGTAGAAGATATTTAACAATCCTGATATGTTCTGAGATTCTGTCATCAGAGATATGCTTTGAGCAATTTAATCTGTGGCCACGTGCAGGAAGTGTTGTAAGAGATTAAAAGCAGGAAGATGGGGCTACAGGCCAGAGTGGTGCTAGGGAAGTGGCAGTGAGAATTGCACAGATGGCATGGACAGGGTCAGAGCTTTGCAGGAGTCCTTGAAGACCATGAATTGAATGAAATGCTTAGGAAAAGGAAGGATTCAAAACTGATTTTGAAGGTATAATCCTAGGTGAGTTTATTCCTATCACCATTGCTTTTCACGAAACAGGAAAGCCTGATATTTACAGGCTTGAAAATTTACTGCATAGTTCTTCTTTCAAATAATGTTGAATGCCTGTTTTGATTTTGGCAGTAGGAGGCTCCACTTTTGATATGCACAAAAACATTGAGTATAGTCTATATTAGGTTATTATCTACTTTTATGTTACACATTTTCATATTATTCGCTGTAAAAAGCACTTTCCAAAGAGGAGAAAGACGGAATATTCATGTATTTTATGTGGATATTCTTGCTAATCTTGAGACCCATATATCACAGAACGAGTTTATTCATTTATTCAACATTTAGGTAAGCACTAATGTTATACCAGGCATTGAGCTAGGCGCTGTGGTTGTAAAGGTAAATAAGAGAGCTTTTGTCCTCAAAGAGCACACTGTTTAGTGAGAGAGCAAAAAACATAAGCAATTATAACACAATGTCATATGATTTAATAGAGACATGCACAGGTTGCTATAGAAACTAAGCAGAAGAATGCATCATAAGTTGGTTACCAACCACTCACTAACAGTGGTTGATGATTTTAAGAAATCTTTTTTTTCAATTTGTAAGGTGTTGAAATGGAACTAAGAAAAAAATATAATTTGAAAACCAAGACTAATTGTTAAAGGGAAATTGTCCAAGATTTGTTAAACTTCTGGCTTTTGTTTTGGTTGGTAATAGGTTCAGCTTCTTGGGGCTGATGGCCTAGAACAAGATGTTGGTGAGACCGAAGACGATGAATCACCAGAACAGCGCGCCCGGAGGCCAATGAACGCATTCCTCTTATTTTGCAAACGCCATCGCTCCCTTGTACGTCAGGAACACCCCAGGCTTGATAACCGAGGTGCTACCAAGATCCTAGCTGATTGGTGGGCTGTTCTCGATCCAAAGGAAAAGCAAAAATACACAGACATGGCCAAGGAGGTAGGTTACAGTGACAAGGTTTGATGGTGGCTGTGAGCAACCAATCCCGTAACCCCCGGTCAGCAAGCGTGGAGAACCTGCGAAAGGTATAGAAGGGTGAAGGTGAAGCCTGAATCAAGTGCTAAGTGAAAACTTAAGAGCTTTCTTCCTATTCCTGAGTCCTGGGTGCACCTTGCAGATGCTGGTGGAGATGCCAAGGGCAATTTATTACCAAGAAGTTTTTCTCATTGTATATACTCCACTCATTGATAGAGGGGATTGATTTTTATGAATGATGATTTATTCGTTATGAATGATATATATATATATATATACACACTTTATATGTATTTATATATATTTATACTTTATAATATATACTTTAATATATATATATATATATTAAAGCTTTTCTAGGGACCCAGCTTCTGCTGTCAGATAATGGCCATGGTAAAGATGACAATCTTAGGTAACTCTGATTGTAACCTGGGAAAGAGTATTGATGTGGTTTTGATGCTAAATAGCTTTGTGACCATATCCAAGTCAATCTCCCGGTCTCATCTTCTTCTTTTTTGATGTGTATTGGAATGAGGAAGTTGGACAAAGATTTATATCCCTTCCGCTCTAACACTTTTTCGTTTTATAATAAACGGTTATGAAGAGATATGCTTTGACTCGTTTCTGCTCTGTAGGTAGTGCAGCATGAATACTTAAAACCAGTAAATGAATGAATCGCACTGAAACAGGATGTGCTGTGAGCATGCCTGTCAGCGCTGTGTAGGCGTAGTTGGTGAGAAGCATTTCCATGGAGGAAGGCTATTGAGAGAGGTGGGACATTAATCAATTCCAAAATGATAGCAGTGACTGAATTTCTTCAAAAATTCTATACCAGTCTGTTTCTAAATTAATCTGAGATTAAGGTCAGTCAGTGTACATTTAAAACGTATAATGTATTTAGGAAGTAAGGGAAAAAGCAAAGTAATACCATTATGATTAAACTTGAAAAGAATAATTCTAACATTATTTCTTCAATATTAGAACGTGCAAACCATCTTACTTCATGGAAACCAAGTTTTGGTTAAGTTTGTGAAAAGATGAAGTAGCAGGGGACAAAATACAGAGTTTCAAGTGACACATTTTATTAGACATCTCAGTATGTGGAAAAGTAATTCTTTCAATTGCTCTGGTTTTATTGAGTTGTTTAACAAGCCAACATGGAACATAAAACTTCCTTATGCAATGTTCAGGGAAATTTGAATCCAGAGTAAATGATTAGCATATTTGCTATGTAATTAATGATCACATAAGGCTTCAGGAATTGGCTGTTGTTAAAAACAGGATTAGAACTATGTAGAGCATCTGGAAAATTTAAAAATCTCGGTCACCTACATGATTTTAAATGTTTCAGTAGATTTCCAGTAGCGTAACAGTAGTTAACACTCAAACTTTCCCCTTAAATAGTCTTAGATCCTTTCATAGTCATGCTTATCTGGTAAAAGAAACAATTACCTGAACCCTCAGAGGGAACTGCAATAGCTTCCTATAATTAAACACTCCAGTTTGCTTTTGGATAACATGCAGCCTGTCCCGAGTATATTGTTTGCATTTTCTTAAATACAGCTAATTTACAAACCCAACAGGTGGCCACTTTTAAGAGGAGGAAGTATTATTTTCATACAGGAAATCCCTCACTAATTACTTAATTAGGCTCACAGTATTTACCATTGTGGGGCTGTAATGAAATCTGTTAAGGGGCCCCCTGCAGTCTGCTCCCAGTGGAGACCATAACTGGATCTTCCACTTTGCCACTCACCTTCTTTATAGCTTCTCTTAGGAAATGTTGTCTCATTTCTAGTGCAAAGTGTGGAAGGTTCAGCTTCTTCCAAAATCAGTGTACAGTTGGTTTCTAGTCATAAGTGATACTTACCTGTTTCAAATTATTTACTAAATGGTTTTGAAATTACATTAAAGTGCAGGTAAGTGTGCTGGTGCTTTTTGTGTTAATATTGCAGCCTTAACTGGAATGTCAGTTTAACCAACAAAAACCTAGGGAGTGTCTTCAGTGCACCAGGTCTTGTGGGGGGTGCTGGTGATAAATATGGTCTCATTCCTCAAGTTTCCCCCCAGGCAGTCATTTTTAAAACTGTTTCATATGTGTAACCTTTTAATTATAAACTCCCAAATATAAAACGTCTTCTCTGTTGAGAACAAGACATACTTTCACCGTAGTCTGCATGTGAATGTGAATGCTTACGTGATATTCACCAGCATCTATTCTGCCATTATCAATTGAATGAGAAATACTTACTTTTTTCCTTTCTCTTTTTGTTTTTAAAAGAAACATTTTAAAAACAAAAGTTTTTTTAAAAAGAAATGAGCAATAATTAATACAACTTTGAGAGTAGTTTTCTCACCTGTTGGAGATTTCTCTGACCCTTCCTTTGCCCCTGATTATTTTCTGTTAGTGCATCTGGGGAGAGGAAGCACCTGTTCTGGGATTTGTTTTCAGTTTCTTGAATTGTTGCCCAGTACTAATTTGTGCTGTTGAAAAAAATGATTGAATGAAGGTTTCTTGTTCTCTGATTAATCTCATTAGAGCAATAATTGGCTATAAGTAATATAAAAAATGCTATCCTAAGGATGTAGCCTGGATTACTTTCTTAAGTTCAGCAGTGTGCGTGCTGGTGCAGTATTGTGGGTGTTCAAGAGTTCTTTTTTTTTTTTTTTTTAAAGATTGGCCCTCAGCTAACATCTGTTACCGGTCTTTTTTGTTTCTTCTTCTTCTCCCCAAAGGTCCCTGTATGTAGCTGTATCTTCTAGTTGTAGGTCCTTCCAGTTGTGCTATGTGGGCTGCCGCCTCAGCGTGGCTTGATAAGCAGTGCTAGGCCTGCACCCAGGATCTGAACCAGAGAAACGCTGGCCCGCCAAAGCAGAGCACATGAACTTAACCGCTTAGCCATGGGGCCAGTCCCCATAGGTTCTAATTTCTGACTATTTGACTGCCTGTTAGGAGACCCAGAAACAATATCGCTTTTACTTTTTTAAAAAAATTATATACATACATATTTTTATGGCAGTAACACTGGTTTATAATGTTATATAAATTTCAGATGTACATCATTATATTTCGATTTCTCTGTAGATTACATCATCTTCACTACCCAAAGACTAATTACAATCTATCACCACACACATGTGCCTCATCACCCCTTTCGCTCTCCCCACCCTGCTTTGGTAACCACCAATCCAATCTCTGTCTCTATGTGATTGTTTGTTGTTTTTATCTTCTGTTTATGAGTGAGATCATACAGTATTTGACTTTCTTTGTCTGACTTATTTCACTTAGCATAATACCCTCAAAGTCCTTCCATGTTGTCATACATGGCTGGGTTTCATCATTTCTTATGGCCAAGTAGTATTCCATTGTGTCTATATACCACATCTTCTTTATCCATTTGTCCCTTGATGGGCACCTAGGTTGCTTGCAAGTCTTGGCTATTGTGAATAATGCTGCAGTGAACATAAGAGTTGCATGTACCTTTACACATTTGTGTTTTCATGTTCTTTGGATAAATACCCAGCAGTGGAACAGCTGGATCGTATGGTAGTTCTATTCTTAATTTTTTTTTTTTTTTTAAAGATTGGCACCTGAACTAACAACTGTTGCCAATCTTTTTTTTTTTTTCCTGCTTTATCTCCCCAAACCCCCTGACATAGTTGTATATCTTAGTTGTGGGTCCTTCTAGTTGTGGGATGTGGGACACCGCCTCAACGTGACCTAACGAGCAGTGCCATGTCTGCGCCTAGGATCCAAACCCTGGGCCGCCGCAGCGGAGCGCTCGAACTTAACCACTCGGCCACGGGGCCGGCCCCTATTCTTCATTTTTGAGGAATCTCCATACTGCTTTCCATAGTGGCTGCACCAGTTGGCACTCCCAGCAGCAGTGTATGAGAGTTCCCTTCTCTCCACATGCTCTCCAGTACTTGCTGTCTTGTGGATTATAGCCATTCTGACGGGAGTAAAGTCATATCTCAGTGTAGTTTTGATTTGCATTTCCCTGATAGTTGATGATGTTGAACATCTTTTCATGTGCTTGTTAGCCATCTGTATATCTTCTTTGGAGAAATGTCTGTTCAGATCTTTTGTGCATTTTTTAATTGGGTTACTGGGTTTTTTTGTTGTTGACATGTATGAGTTCTTTATATATTTCGGCTATTAACCCCTTATCAGATATATGGTTTGCACATATCTTCTCCTAATTGTTAGGTTGTCTTTTCATTTTGTTGATGGCTTCCTTTGCTGTGCAGAAGCTTCTTAGTTTGATGTAGTGCCATTTCTTTATTGTTTTTATTGTTTCCCTTGCCTGATCAGACATGGTACTTGAGAATATGCTGTTAAGGCTGATGGTGTGTACTGCCCATGTTTTCTTCTAGAAGTTTAATGGTTTCAGGTCTTACATTCAAGTGTTTAATCCATTTTGAGTTAATTTTTGTGTATGGTGTAAGACAGTGGTCTGCTTTCATTCTTTCGCATACTTTTACTTTTTATCATCTTTATGTATGTACTCTTAAAAGCGTAGGAATACAAGTCTGCATTTTTGCCTAGGATATTTGTGGAACCTTCCACATGTCACGTAAACTAATGATCATAATGAATTAATTGACAATCAGTTTAGAGGCTCACATATCTTGACCTTCAGGTAGAGCGGAGTCAGTGCAAAGAAGAGGGGAGGACCTGGAAAGTTAAGACAATTTTGAATGACCTCTATGATACCCCCTCCCTCCTTTTTTTGTAGGATCAGAGGCATGAGGCAGAATGTGTATCTTCATTGGTTGATTGGTTCATTGCAGGCTTGCTGTTTTACATAAGCACAAGCATGTAATTTCAGTCAGGATCATCCCCATTGTTCAGAGCAGGGACCTATGGCTCTTTAGAGTTAGCATCTTGACCAGCCAGTCATCCATTTGTGGAACTTGTCTGTCTGACTGTAGTGCCCTTTTAATACACACTGCTCACTTTA